CAATGACTTGTTACGAGATAACGTCACAACATTATAAATTTAACTACAATACTGATAAAAAAAAAGTTGATTGGAAAGAAAAACAAATCTATTTTTTCTACATAAATTTAAAATCTGAAATGCTTATCTGATTTTTGGAAAATATTATTTGTTTCATGAAATTTTTTAAATTTTTAATAATTGATTATTTTAGGAATTTTTTATTTCTTAAAATTTTTAAAATTTTCATTTTGTTGAAAAATATTAATATATTATGTTGTCTTGAGAATAATACTCCTTGTTAGGTATTATGGTGCAAGGTATCTTTTAAAAATTCTTTTTATTTGAAAATATATTAAAATAATATCATGCATTTATAATTTTAATGTTAGTGTTCGCTAAAATAAAAAAATAGTTAATTTTTAAAAAAATATTAATTATTTTTTTAAAAAATATTATTATCTTATATAGTTTTGAAACTAGTTTTATTTAGAGTTCGTGACTGCCTCTCCTAACAAGTATGATTTTTAGGAATGAACTTGTGCTCTTACTCTTACGAGGATACAGACACAAATTGTATATAACCCATAAAGATGGAGAAAGCATCACTGATTTGAATAGAATCTGTTTCCTATTGTCCAAATTGCTGACCTGAAGTATAACTGCTGACCTGAAGTATAACCGTGAGTGCTGAAGTTCTGGGCTGAGCCATTGCCATGATTGCCACAATATGAATTGTTGTGGTTGTTATGTCTCCAGCCCCTACGAAAACAACCTCGTCTGCTAGTATTGAAACTAGAGTGGTGTTGTATAAAGTGTCGGGTTGGTTGTTATTAATGTGTAGCAATCATTAATAAACAACAACATTCATTAACAAATATAGCAATCCTTTCAAAATATTAAAGTTTAACGGCTATCATTATTGAAAATGAGTTGGCCACAATTTTGGACAAAAAAGCAAGAGAAACTGCCATAGATACTTATAAATAGAGGCATATGTGAGAGAGCAAAATAAAAGAAAGTAAGAACAAAAAAAAAAAAAAAGAAAGAAAGGAAGGGCTG